TTTATTCATCTACATTCAATTAGATTCGGCTTCTTGTGGATTCTTCAAGTTTCCATTTCTTCTTGAGGATATAATATATCTTCTTATATGATCTGTCTTCATCTCAGTGAAGTAAAGAACAGACGGGAAGACAAAGGAAGAACATGGATTACCTTGGTTGATTCAACAAATTGAAGGAAGCGGACAGAACAGAATTAAATAATAATAAGATCGGAAGAAACTGGGAACGAAGGACTGGTTAAATGCTTCCACTCAAATGGTGGCTGAGTTGTGGTCAGCCATTACATCATGTATACACATGTAGCCTTACATGTTACAGTTGGTATGTTTACATATCTCACATGTCATCATATGGTTCACACAAGGTTGTACCACGGAAAGTTTTATTACTCAAGAACCAATGATAGTTGACATTGCTTACATAAGAGTATTTTGGTGAGAAAAGAAGAAAACAAAACATAGAAGATACAAAACATTTACTCAATATCCATTGCATCTTCCTCTTCCCCTTCAACTGTCAGCTTGGTGTTGTTGATCTTCACCAAAGGGATATAAGCTTTAGGAAGAATAGCACAAGTCATACCTGGTACCTGCACCGACCAATAGTATCCAATGTCGTAGGCCAGGCATATGGCCAGCTGAATCTTTTGAACCTTGACTTCACCAAACACTGATTTCCCTGGATGAACTGACCGCTTGTGAGGGAAATACCCTTGGACCAAAAGTCCCATAATATAATCATGAGTCCGGCACCAAATCTTCTCCTTGATCTGAATCTTCTCCAACTTTTGAATTTCTTCCGCAGCCTTGATGATTGCCATAGCATTGCCCACTGGCACATGCTTATCTCTTGAAGCCAACATTAATCCTCTAACACCACTAGTTATGAAACCGGCCAAGGAACCCCATGCAAACCCAACCTCCTTCAATTCATCAATCTTCTTATTGATATCTTTTTTGATTTGTTTTTGCTCCGTATCAGTTGCTTTTTCAGGAATTTTTGAATGTAAATCCATTACAGCTATCCCCATTAATACATCGTGAACACTGACTGAAAAGTTTTGAAGATTATTCAATGTACCGGCTTTGACCACTGCTGATTCGTGTGCAATTAATTGAGATCCTGACAAGCCTGAAGTAAGTAGATTTTCTCCGCCACCGCTGGAGCCTAAGGTTGGACGAGTTAATAATAAATGAGAAACAAATCTATAACTATTTTCATAAGGAGTAGCATCCGGGTTTTCTTCAAAGGTATTCTTGTGAATGACTTGATCCCCAGCCACCGCAATAGCATCTTGAAATAAATTAGAAACCTCTTGACGTTTCTTTTTGGAAGGACATCCAATAGGCCGCACAGTCCGCCATACGTGAAAAGGCCATAACTTTGTATCCAGGTCCGGATTGAAAGAATCTTGAAACAAAGAAGGGCTCCATAATTCGGAGCTAAACAGCAATTCACCTTCAGCAGGTGTGAAGAATTGAAGTCCTGTGACAAAAGGGTATGTCAGTTGATTTACTTTACCAAAATTCAATAAATCATATGCACTAACCTTGCTCATTAACAAATTCAAGCCATGCTGAATTAGACATCTTGCTGCCTGAAAAACACGTTCCCGGAGGTAATTGGAAAGATGGCTTTTCCAAGAGAGGAATATGTTCAAGTCTCATGGTGATCAAGTTGAAAGCACTGTCTCTACCTTTGGCAAAGGTAGCTGAAGACATCTTTTTGGCCGGAAATTCGGTGAAACTTTGACAGAAAACTTCTTGATGCTTCAGGATAAAATCCGTCTCCGAGATTGCGGGAGGTAAGTTGGCTGGAATAGTTGCCACTTCAGTTGTGTCAAAGACTGGAATGTCTAGATCCATTTTGTCTTCACATGGTGTGACTTGGACATTTGTTTCTATGAGAGACAAGAATGGTCAAAAAGAGAGGAAAAGTTAAAATAGTGTTTTCACAGAGTTCTTACCCTGGTTATGACCTGGCCGAACGTAAAATACAAACTGACCAATTTGGTTCTTGATGAGCTGAGTAATTGGTTCCACCGGGGATCCAACCTCCATTTCAATATCTTCATGACCGGATGGGGGTTGCCAAGAACTTCTGCAGGTAATATATTAACATCTGCAGGCAATCTCGAAGGCAGATCAGAGGATCTTTCGGGAACCGGAGCCGGAGAGCGTTCGGGAGCCGGAGGCTGTTCGGGAGCCGGAGAGCGTTTGGGAGCCGGAGGCTGTTCGGGAACCTGAGATTTTTCGTGGGCCGGAGATTGTTCAGGAGCCGGTGAGCTTCGGGGCTCCCTGATTTTCCCTAACCCATCTTCCTCATCCTCAAGTTTGGAAGATGGGCCAGGAGAAGGTTCCGGGACGGGTGGTGGAGACAATAGTGCTGAGGAGATTGGTTCTCCATCTAAGTCTGAAGAGGTTGATCGAATGACTCCTTTCCGTAGAGATTTTTGAGATAAGTTGACCGGGGGAAGATCTAGTTCATCTGAGGTTGAAAGTTTGTCTTGATCTTGATGTTCTGCTGGTTCTTTTTCATTTTGAGATGTTGAACAACTTCATCATTTGATTTTTCTTCTTCCTCGTCCTCATGGCCACCAGAATTCGAATCATCGTCTCCTTCGGCATCCTCATTCGAATCATGTTCATTGATTGGGTCTTTGGGTTTCGAGCTAAGATTCAAACGGGTCCGTTTCGAGCGCATCTGAGTGCCGGAGTAGCTGGGAGCGGCTTCGCGGGTACGTTCAGAACGCCTTTGGTTGGGCGGAGGCGGGGAGTCATCTTGAATCCAGATGACCTTCACATTGGGTCGAGTTGGTGGACGTTTTCCTCGCTCTAAGTCTGCAAAAGAAAAGGGGTCAGAAAGCACCCAAAAAGAAAGAAGTAAATGAACAATAGCAACCTTCAAAAGCGTTATCACATTCCTTTCCAGCTTGTTCAATCAAATCATAAACTCGAGGAGGAAGACCAGCAACTTTAAGCTGTTCCTTGAGGATGGCCGAAGTCGAGTTCACATTCTGGTAATATTCTTCCTTTGAGATTTCCTGGACTTCGTGATCGGATAAACCAACTTGTTGAACCGCATCAAGAGGACCTGGAACTGACGGTGCTTGAGAGAAAGTTTGGAAACTCGGAGCAGGAAATTTCGGCTGTGAGGCGGGGTTATTCTTCATCTCGAGTTTGTCCTGGTCCAAATCTGAGTCTACAGAAGAGGCCTGACTTTTCTCCTCACTGAAATTCATGTGAGGAGGTGATGGACGGTTCTCATATGGCATATCTATTGAGGTATGTATCAGTTTATTTGAAATGATTGTAGCTCAGGTGTTTGAATACTGACTTGATAATTTTTTTGAAACTAGGTTATCAATTTTATTTGATTATTCCAAAGAAATGAATATAACAGACTAAAAAAATCCAAAATAAAGTTAAAAATTTGAGTTAAAAAAATTAACAAATTGATGATTCAAGTAATTTGATTTTGGCAGTTCGATAAAAGTGGTCGCAAACAAGTGAGAGCTAATACTAAATTAGATGAGAGATGGGAAGGTACAGGGCGCGTAGGATATTACAACATGGGGTAAGCCTCGGATCTGATGTTCAAGAGAGATAACAATGTATTCAGCGGGTTCGTTGAAGAGGCCGACACCGCGAGTTCGAGGGGATCGTTGCAAAGAACGCTGTGAAGGGAGCGTAAACACTGCTGCTGATGATGCGTGGTTCAGTACAGACGCGACCTGAAATGCAGGGCGACCGGGAATCAGCGTAGTCAGGGAATGCTAGAATATGTACTTACGGGAATGAAGATGTCCCCAAATGCGACGCTGCTGTCGAAGACAATACGGAGTGACCGACGTTCGAGGGCCACAACTAAAATCTGATATCACTGTGTTAGTTAAAATATTGATTGCTGAGAAGGAAATATACTTACGTTGGCATATGTAGCGTGAGGTACAAGATCGTGGTCACGATTTGAAGGCATTGAAGTTTCCGAAGCTGTGTTGGTCGGTGGTTGAAAAGATTTCAAGGATAGACGCGGTTCGGAAGGATGCGAACACTGCAAAATGGGGGACGGGTCTATAAAGACACAGCCTTACCAAACACTTTAGGGGGCCGAGTAGTAGCCTTGACTGGCTGCCCGCAGAGCGTAAGATGGAGAACATTGCCGTGGCAAAGCGTGTAGAGCGTCTGGTTTTGCCAATTGAAACGAGATAGAAACATGACTGGGTTGGTAAAAATTATCACGTTGGCGACGCAGTATGCGGCTGCTCCTATCGCAATGACCAAAAGGAGAGTCTACAATACGCTGTGTGATGGAAAGGCGATATGGGCTACAATGCGACGTTGCGAGCGTACAATGGGACACATGGCGCGCGACCCGAACCGAGACCGCGACAGGAACGGGGCTCGATGTCACAACGCGGCAGTATACGATGTTACCGAGAGGGCGGCGCGCCGCCCCCGAAGCTCTAGTTTCTAAAATATAGTTCAAAGAGTAATTCCAAAATCTAGGTCTAATGAGTCTGGCATCCAAATCCCTCTCAGAGTCAACCAAAAAAAGAGGCTTAAATTTTCTGTAATTCATTAAAATCTGATTAACAAACTTGGTCATTGACCTTCTCTACCAAAAAAAGTTGAGGTGGTCAATCTTGAAAAAATATGAATCAGTTAAGACTTGGAAGTTTAGTACACATGTAGCTTGTACAATACCAAATATTAGCTTAGTCAAATGAAAATGCTAAAAAAATGTCACTAGATAATTTTCCAGTTTAGGGTTTGCATTGAGTGCTTTTTCTCTTTGGTGTCAAGTTTGGAATCTGTCACATCTATGATGAAAATGAAGATCTCAACGTAATGAGAATCGGATGATGAAAAAATAAGTCCATGATATACATTGATTTTTTAAAATACAAAATGAGTAAGTCTTTGATACAAAATCAAAATCTGATACAACATATAAAAAACCCCAAAAACACTATTCATTAAATAGCATCTTTAGATCTTCAACTCGGTCTTCTTCTTGGATCGTAAGCAACAATTATACTAGCACTTTCTTGCCATTGAAGTCCCGAAAGATCTTCTAGAAACCTATCAAGAATGATTTGACTACTATAATTGGTCTTTGAATCATAAGTTCGTGGTGGTGGTTTGATGAGAACAAACTGATCATGTTCAAGATCAGGTGAGGTTGGAAACCTTTCTGTTTCATCATTGAAATTCTCTTCAAGATGAATTCTATCTTGATTAATCTCTGGTAAAACAGGATCTCCGCTAGGGAACTCAAAGTCTCTTGAATTATAATCCAAACTAAAAAAATCATCGAATCAGATCATGTGATAAGAAGTGTGGATTCTGATAAAGATGATTTTGAAACTAGAGTAACTGACCTTTGAGGACGACTTCCGTAAGTTTCATTGAATTCAGCAAGATCTTCTTCATTCACATTTCCAAAGCTACTTGCATAACTATCTCTACGAGAACTATGTCCAAGTAAATTACTAGTATAAGATCTCAAACTATCTCGTCCAATTTCAGCATATGAGTTCATCGAATGACGCTTAGTGATCACTGGAGTTGGATGTGAAATCGATTTGACAGAACAAGATCTCGAATCTCTATTCCCTTCTTTTAAACTTCCAATCTCAGATTCTTGGTTCGAAAACAACCTTGAATTAAAATACCCTCCATACCTTTCTAAATCTTGTTTAAACTTTTGATGATCTAATGATCTTTTATTTAAAGCTTGCATTTTTCTTTTACGTTCGACAACCATACCTAAGACAGCCAAAAAGAAAAATCCAACTGAAAAGGACAGCCCAACAGAAACAGCTTGAACTTGCTGTGTTTTAACATATTTCGGAGTCTTAATTGCCGGTGGATATTGGGGGTAGAAAGCTCTATATTTGCCTCCCATTAGACTGGTATCCCTCATCGAAGCATCTCTGTTGAGATCAGTTTCATTACCTGGAAATGCTGAGATCGGAGTGCTTCCACCAAACCTTGGTGTTGTGACTCTGGGGATAGAGTTTAAAAAAGTTGGAGGATCTTCTGAATTAACAGTGTCAGTAGATGTGATTGACCCTGTAGGATGGCTATCCTTCTTATATCCTTCATAGATCTCTGTAGGAGTAACTGATCCATGAAATCTTGTTCCAATGAGGTCTGAATTTTTCTCATGATTAGGATCGATCGGATTAGTAGCCGGAAAGAAAGGATTCAAATCTTCTTTGATAACAGGACGGAACCTCGAAGGCATTATCCCACTTGAAGAGGACTGCTTTCCAAGTTTTTCTCCGTTTGTGTGAGTGACGTTCGATTTCGCCAATGATGAACTATTGGTAGCTACATGACTTGTTTTCGATGTCATGAAACCCGTAGCGTTCATAATATCTGAATTCGATTTGATCTTTCTTTGAGATGACTGGGTAACATTAATCTTGGATGTATTATGTCTCTGTCCATCTCCAAGTACCTGAGCCATCTGATTTACCGGAGTGTGGAATATATCAGAGTTGATAGTCATTGATTGGTTGTGGGTCGATTTATTTCGATGAGAAGACGCATTCTGATTTGTCACCTTTCCGTTGGTATCGTTAGAAGACAGAATAAGGTTTGCTTTGGGCGTGAAGTTGAGTGAACCTTCTAATTTGGACGCTGACAAGTGATTCTTTGATGTAGAATTGAGATTCGAAGCCGTGCTGGTGTTGCTGTATAGTGACATTTGGGGTATCTTTATTTTAGAAGTTGTGACTAGAGGAATGTGAGGATTTAGATCTCCTTTTTCAAAGAGACTGACGTTCCCGTTAAATTGGATTCCAGGAAAGGTCAAATTTGCGGGAACTAGCTTAGTCGAGTCTAAAGCAGCTTTTTTGGTGGTATTGGAAATTAGTTTTCCATCGGAATACTCCTTGGTGGTACTGATCATTGTGGATTGAGGGGAAGTAGTCGCGTTGGAATATTTTATGAGCTCGTTTGAAGTGACATTACCCCCCATCATCACACTGTTTGTGGAATTACTTCTGTGAGAAGCTGTGGTGGAAAATAATATTAGACACTATGGAATGACCCATCGTAAGAGCTGAAGAGCTTACTTGAATGGCGTGAAGCAGATGTATGATTGGCCTTACCAGAATAATGTGCTCGAATCTCTTCGGGTCCTTGCACAAATGTCGGTAGATCGGAGTCACTGCAGTTGAAAAGAAAGTCAGTTTCGCCAAACTATAATGATTATTGATATGTGAAGATGAAGATAGATGCTTACTCAATTCCTACATCGAGAGGGCCTGATCATTCACGTCATGTCAAGATTTTGAGTCTCTGAATGGCTTTGTGGCAAGGGATGAAAGATTTACCTTGAAGTGAGCTAATTGAACCGTTTATAATGGATTGAGGCCTGATGTCTGTAGCAGTGTATTTCGAAGATTTCTAAGATTTGATACTTTGGTCAGTAAATGCCCAAACATCGAGAAAATACGAAAAGGTCATTCGAAATGCATACCATATCTTCAGGTTCATAAATCGTGCTGTGAGTGCCATAATTTGTACCTGCGTGAAGATATTTCTGTTCAGGGGCTTCATTGATCTATAAAGCTATTTCAGTCACACTCACTCCTTTCCGTAGAATTCCCTTTGTGGTCTGTTGCATTCATGAGAGGACTGGTCATCAATTCCACGGGTGATTCCACGCCTCCAGCCTCCAAAGATACATCCATATCGCCTAAGTCTTGATCTAGTTTTGATGAATCCAGTCCATCTTGCAATGTAGAATTAGATTCTGGTTCACCGGCAGATTATCAATCAATTGAATTAAACCCATCAGCCCATGCGGGTGAAATCCCTTCAGATATAAAAATGAAGACTTTTTTTTATGGAACCATTCCCCTGCTTCCTCATTGGTAGACCATCTGTTCCATAAATATCAAGCTGGTCTCCCTGTTTGAGCGTGTCAAGAGCTTGTGTCGAGTATCTTTCGGTATCTAAGAGCAGTACAAGCAATTTTTCAGTGAGCATGAGAGAGAGAGTCAACAGGCAAAAAGAACATACCATTCGGAGGGCTTCGATTCGTAGAATTCCCAGGACTGGATATAAGCTCAGTTCCTGGAGGGGAATCCTTCGAAGCATGTGTCCCAAAAGCTGGAATATGAACCAAAAAATCAGATAATTAACCTTGAGGAAATTTGAATCGATTTGCGGTCGACCGAAAGCCACGTACCAGACCCCAAACCGTTGACTTGAGTTTTATAAGAATCAATCTTTTCATTAGAGTCCTTTGATTTATTTTGCCATTTTGTGCCTTTCTTCATGCTTGGTTCTCCATGGCTAGGTATGTCCAAGTCCAACGCCGAATTCAGATTCTCACCAAAATAATCCTACGAGGCGGGACAACTTCAATAAAAGATAAGATGAACCTTTGTGACTAGAGATCTAGACCTTACCCCGATGAACTTATTAGGGATTCCAGGAAGATTGTATCCGTTGAAGGGTTCAGGTCCAGCTTCGGTTGTCCTTCAGAAAGGAAGATCAAAAATCGTGCAGGTTTGATTTAGATAGTCACGATATGTTTAAGTAAAACCAATGATCACCAAAATTCGCAATTACACACCTTGTATTTTGAGAAACTTCAATTCCGTCTTCATATTTCCAAGGAATCAAGAAACGTCGAAGTTAACGGACCGGTATTTCTTTGAACATAGTATCTTTCTGAATTTCTAATGTGTAGGATTGGATGAATGCTTACCTTCATAGCCCATTGAGGCTCCTGAATTATATGTCGTACCAATCCTTTTTGTACTTTATCTTTACACAATCAAACATACAATACCTTTTCAATGTTGCGTGCTGTCTGCTTATCGCTTTAAATGATATACAACCCCAGAGAACCAATCAAATGCTTGAGGAAAGAGTTTATATTCCTAAGATGGCTTGCGACCGATAATCTGACAGAAAACAGTTCTTGATGTCTTGAAAATCAAGTTGAGATGTTCTTCAGACTTCTTGCGCCCGGGTCTGGTAATCCAAATATCTTAAAACTTAGCGTACGGAGTTCCTTCAAAGTTGTGGTGAGCTGGCCTATATGCGCTTTCAAGCCTTTTTCCTCAGAGGTTTTCTGAAGTAAGTTTAGTAGTCGTCTATGCGCGTTATCAGAAAATGAGAGATTTCGAATCTTGAACTATGTACAAGTTGATGAGTCGGTTAAAGGTGTTGGAAAATGTTGAAAGTCTTGAGTTGGTGATTGTCCTTGAATGGATCGATCTTAAATGAAAGCTATTTGTAAATATAATAAGTTTTTTGTTGAGTCAAAGAAACAAAAGAAGTTCTAGGGTCCATAAGTGTCCATGTCTTGAGGTGAAAAAATAATAATTTTAGATATTTAACATGATGTTGTGGAAATTGTTGATCACCAACGAGTGAGGTCTTACAAAACAAACACCGAATCAGCGAATAAGGCTTTTTTGGGGGGGTAATGACGAAGACTACTGGCCACCTGATTTGTTTTCCTCGTAGAATGACTTCATGAATACAACTTGTCTCAGTCTCCTCTTGTGCGGAACTGATTCGAAGTGAAAGCAATCTGACAAAACTCATCCATGGTCAAGTTAACGTTGCTATGCTCTCGGTGAGATTAGATGATGTTAACATTGATCGGCGACTGAAGACTTTGACATCCGCTCCAAACATGTCGGAGGAGTTCGGCCAGACACTTTCTCGTTCGCTCGTTTTACTTCGAAAAAGTGTAGCTTGATGACCATTGAATACAAAGCTTTCTCTTTAACCTTTGCTGCTTGGACAAACCTCGGAGATGAATCGATCCTCGTATGTTGGAAAACTCATGCTCAAGAATCGTATGATTCCGCCAAGGTGAAACAGCCGGGGGTTAAGCCCGTAAATGTCTTTACTGGTAAACTGAGTTCGACAAACCCTGAAATCGTTGACATCAACTGATCAAGAGAGAGAACGATGAAGACACAAGATATCAATCCAGCTGGGCTGACGATGTCAACTTATTTTACCACACAAGTTGCACTTGGTGTTCATAGTCCATGATGTCATTTGAGAGTTTTCAATGTCCATCGAATCACACCAGATTTTGAATGACTCGAGTCTTGACCTCATGCCCATCTATCGGTCTGAGGTCCAACCCCTCATACACCTCAAAATTGATCAAAACAAAAGTTTTCTCAAAGGAAGTATATTCCCCAGTCCCGGTATACTCTTACAGAAACCCTACAAATGGAATGTTTTTTCCAAATACCAATGTAATGCAGAAAGATGACAATTTGTCATCCCATCAAAACTACTCTTTCCATTCCCTTGAATCAAGATTCTCACAGATCATAATCAAGTTAAAAAAATAACGATGATCAACTCAAGAAAAAGATGAAATTGTGACCTGATCTGTGCCAAGAGTAGAAAAGTTAACAATTTTTGAAAAAATGGCAACCAATTTTCTTATACAAAAGCCAAGTGAAGCAAACCCAACCTCAGTATGATTCATATCAAGTTCTCATAGCTCTATCAATAACAACTGGGAATGATGATTTGATGATCAAGAAACTCAAACCTAAGCTCAGTTGTGGGTTTGTTGATACAAACAAAGCAATTTTCTATTATAGAAAGGTGAGATCAGATCGATTAATGATGATCATGGGCTTCTTGCTCAAATCTCAAACCGCTGTAGATCGAATAAACCAAAACAAGATTGATCAGATGAGGGTCGTCGAGCTGAAACCACAAGACCCAAAAATCACTCACCAATATCTATTGATCCGATCATCAGGGATAGGAGATATGAAAAAGAAGATTCAGGATCTAAAGTGAGACATCAATAAAATTGTTAAAAGCCAAGTTAAACTTACGAGCAAGGATGATAACCAGGTTTATCCAAGTTGATAAAGATCCGAGGATGACCCAGTGCACCACCACCTGTCCAAACCAACGTATCAAATCAATCATGTTGAGGTTTTCTCTAAACAGATCAGTAGTAATGATCGAATTCTAAAATGTATGATTAGCTCACCTCCATCACAAGAAGCTACTCGACCAGAGACCATCGAGATAGGTTGTTGATGAATCAAATCAATAGCAGCTAAAGGAAAAGGTTGTAAATCCATCGCGGTTTGTTCGAATCGAGGTCCTTTCATAGCTTCGGATCTTTCCAAAACAATTTCACCAATTGAAACCCATTCCATTTGAAATTTCTTTTTAATGAGATCAAGTTGAGATTTAAACTTTGGTGTGTTAAGTTGCTTACCTTACACCTTGATTCTTACTCCATGTTGTGACTCGATTAGGCGATTGACCAGATGTTTGAGGATGGAATGAGCCCTTCTGAACCCTAATGATACATAAGGGTCTATTAATACGAGAGATTTGCGATTGTTGAGGCACATCAGAGATTGAAGCAAACTGACTCAGTAGAGTTAGATCGACAAGATAGAACTGTTGAAGTTGAAGGTTGATAATGAGTTGATTTTTGTTTGAGAATTTGATTGATTGGTGTTTGTTTTGAGATGAAAGTACGAGAGATTGAAGACATTTTATTGATGGTTTGATGATGATTGATGATGATTGATGATGAATGATGAATGAACAAGGAAGTGATAGGAATGAAGTTTAGAGCTTAAGCTTAAGTGTTAAGTAGTTTTAATTTAGTAATTTAAACTGGAAATGTGCAACTTTAATTTGAATCTGACCATTGCGCATTCATCAGTCATCATCATTCATCCACTTTTTATCGGTCATGTTGTATCAGGGCTAACATTGGCAATTGACCAAAATAAAGTGGCAGCAATTTTGCACAAACCACTGCCACAAACGGTCAAAGAGATACAAAGCTTCCTCGGCTTCTCGAGCTATTACCGGATGTATTTGGAAGCATACTCCAAAGTTACAGCCCCACTATATCATTTGCTAAAGAAGGGAGTACAATTCTCGATAACAACGGAGAGAGCGAATGCCTGGGAAAGCGTAAAAAAGCTACTCACGAGTGCACCATGCCTCCTCCAACCCAATTTTGAGAAACCTTTTATACTCTATGTTGATGCAAGTTTTTTGGGTTTAGGCGCAGCGCTGCACCAAAAACAAATTGTTAATGGGAAACTAGTCAACAGACCAGTTTGTTTTATATCTAGACAACTTAAAGAGAGTGAGAAAAGATACGGAGCACCACAACTAGAGTGCCTAGCTCTCGTGTGGGCACTGTATAAACTACACTACTATCTAGATGGCATTTACTTCGAAGTATTTACGGACTGTCAAGCCATAAAGTCATTGATGAATGCAAAAACGCCCACCAGACACATGCTTCGATGGCAAATGGCGATACAAGAATATAAATCTTACATGACAATAACACACAGACTGGGAAACCTTCACAGTAATGCTGACACCCTTAGTAGAATGGCGCTGCCTAACAACAGCAACAACTCTGGTTGGGAAGATGAAAACGTTGAAAGAGACATCCCGGTTATGGGCATCAGCTTATGCGAGCTTTCAGATGAATTTTTTGATACAATATCAGAAAGCTACAACTCTGATCATAACACGATTAAACTCTTGAAAATTTTGTCCAGTGACGAACATGAGACAGCACTTGAGAGCTCCTTGTCCGAGGAATGGAAAAAACCATTACAAGATGGCAGATTCTCTTTAGTATCAGGTTTACTATATCACCGAGAAAAACATTCAAAGGTAGTAGTGATCATCAGTAAAGAACATGTTAGCAAGATTCTTACGATATGCCACAATGACTTTATGTCAGGACACCTAGGGGAAGACCGCACACTTCCGAAAGTAGCAACCACAGCCTGGTGGCCGAGATGGAAGCAAGACACTCAAATGTATGTTGCATCATGTGATAGATGCCAAAAGTCCAACAAACAAACAGGTAAACGATTGGGCTTGATGCAAAGTATTGAGGAACCATCATTCCCGTGGGAAGTCATAAACATGGACTTTGTCACAGGATTACCTCCATCAGGAATTGATAGCACAAACAGTGTACTAGTAGTCGTAGATAGGTTCTCAAAGAGGGCAAGATTTCTACCTTGTCATAAGGAAATAGATGCAATGGGTACAGCAATGCTATTTTTCCAATATATCATTGTAGATTGTGGTTTACCTAGAATCATCATTAGCGACAGAGACCCCAAATTCACTTCTGAATTTTGGAAGGGCTTGACAAAACTAATGGGTACTACCCTTGCCTTATCTACAGCTTACCATCCACAAACAGATGGCCTCGCAGAAAGGATGATCCAAACACTGGAAGATATGATCAGAAGATATTGTGCATATGGTCTGTCCTTTAAGGATAAAGAAGGATATCTGCACGACTGGAAATCTTTACTCCCAGTGTTTGAACTGGCTTATAATACTAGTACTCACAGTACTACTGGAAAAACACCGTTCGAATTGGAAAGAGGGTACAACCCAAGGACTCCTAACAATCTGATAAAGGACAAAGACATTCAAGTCCATCCGACCACACTCAATTTTCACACCATGCTAGATAAAGCAAGAAAACACGCACAACAATGCATCACAGAGTCAGTCAAATATAATAAAGACAGATGGGACAAAAGTCACAAAGAAGTCGACTTCAAAATAGGAGACAAGGTACTAATATCAACGGTGAACTTCAATAATATTCAAGGACCACGGAAACTTAAAGACACATTCGTAGGCCCATTCATCATAGCAAAACTGCATGGCCCAAACGCAGTTGAAGTTATCCTCACAGGTGAGTTTTCACAAAAACACCCAACCTTCCCGGTCTCCCTGTTAAAAGACTACAAAGAGTCGATAGAACAGCAGTTTCCTGGAAGAACAAACGTACAGGAGCAACTGATTCCCTTCGACAAAGAACAAGCCAAGACCATTCTGAAAGTCTTAGACCAGAAAACAGTAAAACTACAAGGTAATATCACGCAATTATTCGTAGTAAGATACAAGAATAAAAGTTCTGACAAAGATGAATGGCTACCAGAGGGTAAAATACCAGACTCAGCCACAGTCCTTAGAAAGTTCAGAGTGGAAAAGAAAAATCTTTAAAGATTTGTCTTTTTTCAACCCCGGTGAATGTCAACCTAGAGAGTATTAGGACATACTCCTAAGGAAGACAAGCTCCGTATAAAAAACAAAAACTACATATATTCCTTTTTTTGTTTCATCTTATCTTTGAAAGAACCCTTCAAACATCCCCTTCAAAGATAAAAAGACATCTCCGACTCCAGTTTCAAGAGTCAATAGAATACATACCCTGACTACATGTTTCCAAACATGAGTCAGGAACAAGCCTTAAACAAAACCATTAATAACCAGAAGGATTCGCAATAATCAGACTAGAACGGACTAATTAAAACATTACCAAAAGATCCAAAGGGTCCTCTAACATGGCATATTAAGGGTCTTGACTAGAAGTCTACTTGGACCCTTGAAAAAGAGCAAACATGATCAAGGTATGATCATATCACTTCAACCAAAACTGGTCTAGTTCAGAAGAGAACCCTGGACCAAGCCCGCATCAAAATTAACTGAGGAAAACCCTCATCAAGCCCAGAAAAGTCCTTAGGAATCAATATAAAAGGACTACCATCTCGCACCAATAGTAATAGATCATCTTATACTTTACAAAACAAATCAATTTTTAGCAAACATTCATCTATAACAAATTTAGAAACCCAGCCGATTACTTTTAGCTTAGAATTCCTGTTTACCTTATCGTATCTAGAATCTACTCTATCTGTCTATTGTGTTTCTCATAATTCGTTATCGTTTAGTGCTCTCAATCTAAAAATCCCTTGTTCTGAACCGCTATCAAGATCAACACGCTTACATTGAATAGTCACCGTCTAACATAGTTCTTAGATCTTCTCATAGAATAAAAGATAAAAGCTAGCCTTTTTCTGGTTTCTATTAAGTAGTAGAACTTACGACTTGCCCTGGAATAGGAGTACCTTGTACCCATTCGAAGAAGACCTTAGATATTAACTAAAATATCTAGTGAGTACCTTTTCTTTTCAGTTCTTCTAGTAAATACACAAGAACTACCTTCGGGCTCGAATTTACCTCCATAAAGATTATCGACTTTATCAAAACAAAGCCCACCCAGCTTTATTGCTCAAATTAGAGTGAGTTTGTGTAGTCTGAGCCCTATAAAAGCAGACTTTTTATAGACTTCAGCTGACACGTGTGGTCTTCCAGGACCATTTCGCTTGGCCTTTTTGTTGCCAGTGGTAGAGATAAGCTTGTCTGTTGTGTCGGGGGCACGGCCATCGTTGGCTACATACTTTTGTTTGGTTGGTTTAGGCATACCAAGCGCAGTTACCACATCTTCCCAGTGCTTCCTTGATGAACCATAAACCACAGTAATACCCTTCTCGCGGGACCGGAAATCTTGTTCTAGACTCTGAACAAACGCCAGCAGTTGGACCATTCCTGCAATGAGTCCACACTTGCCGTCACTAGAAATAAAAACAAACATCATAAATAGTGTGAACAATCAATGACAGTGGAAAGATGAGTTAATAAAAGTGAAATAAAAACTGACCTAAGCATATAATACACATGATGCATCGACTCCTGAGCATTTGTTGTTGTCGCTGGTCCTTTTTTTTCCCTGCACCTTTGCCTTCACTGTCCTCATCATCCAAAGGCAGATTGTCCTCAGGGGGTCGTTTCCTACCCTGAAATAACATGGCTTCAATGTCAGAAGTGTGCCACCAGGCCAAAAACTTCTTGGCGCGTGGGAATGTTTGGCACAGAAAATCAAATCGCATGTCTAGAGTTTCTTGTTTAGGCGCCTTGTGGTTGGGCAATAGGAGTTCTTTACATTTTGTTTGCCAAAGATTCTGTTTTGGCAAACAGTATACCATCAGTATATTTTTCAAAATCAAAATTAACAATAAAATTAACAATAAATAACTATGCTCACATCTAGAAGTGCCGGTACTACGTTGCAGTTGCGCTTGATTCGAGTCACCGCTTGAGAAAAATGCTGTTCGCAGCCAAAAAATTTGGACAACACTGTTTTTCAATCCGTATTGAACACATCCATATAAGCAGCTATGAAACTGGACTTCTGCGCTTGGGAAAAGTCGACGACTTGTTCAGCCAGTTGCCTCTTATCTTTGTCAGGTAAAGAACAATTTTGAATCTGGCGTAATAGTGTTGTAAAGTGGGCTTGGTAGTTTTCAGTGTATAATCCTCCCAACCAAGTCAGCAGGACTGGTACCCAGTGTTTGAGTTTTTCATTATACATGGATGTTGTTAAAAGGTAACCGTTTTGAAAGAACCGGTATGTTACATTGGATAGAAGGCCTCCGGAGTAAGGCTCCCGGGTAATAGTTCCACATAGCGTTTTCTTCTCTTGATATACCAGCATCTCGGCCATCCATGGAGTCTGAAAAGTGAAATGGAAGTCTTTGATTTCCATCGAGACTGAAACAAATTGCAAACCTTGTCTGTGTGGAATGTGGGAAGGTATTCAAAATAAATGGGAAAAATCCAGTATCAAGTTTAAATGAGGAGTGGAAT